AAAAAAATAAGTATGTTGTTTTCCCTTAAATAATTGTAACTTGAGAGAGATAATCAAACTCTCAAATAATATAGATAAGAATGAAAAAATGAAAAAGAAAAATGTGGTGATGCAAGGAATCAAACTCCATTATTCATCATAACTCAACCACTTGAGCTGTGTCCCCATTTGATGTTTGAATTGACAATTATAATAGAAGGATATACTAATATTGTGTAGACAATAAAATCTAGATGACTAAACCATAGAGACTACAGATTCCCCAAAAGATTTAAAGTTAAAAATCCAAAAGGTGCTAAGAAATTTCGGTTGGTGGTTCCGAAAGGGAAAAAGAGGGAAGATATGTGATTCTATCATTTGAGCTGCGTCTCATTTTGATATATGCATTGGCAACTATATAATAAATATGTTTGCATCAAACATTAATACATATGTAACTTGAGACATGTTGATCTTAATTGCCCATGACTTTATTAAAAAAATACGTATGGTTCATTTCTTAAATAATTGTAATTTGAGAGAGATAACCAAGCTCTCAAATAATATAGATAAAAATGGGGGGGGGGGAGGAAAAATGTGGAGATGGAGGGAATTGAACCCTATAATTCATCATAACTCAACCATTTGAGCTACATCCCCTTTGACGTTCGAATTGGCATTATAATTATGTTTGCATAAAAAATTAATAAATATTTTACTTGAGAGACTTTAATCTTCATTGCCCATGACTTGATGAAAAGAGTAAAGACATGACTTTATCATTTGAGGTACATCTCATTTTGATATATAAATTGACAAGTATATAATAAATATGTTTGCATAAAAAATTAATGAATATGTTCCTTGAAAGACATTGATCTTAATTGCCTATGACTTTATCAGAAAATTATGTATGGCTTTTTTCTTAAATAATTGTAATTTGAGAGAGATAATCAAGCAATCAAATAACATAGATAAGAATGGAGAAAAGAAACAGAAAAATGTGGATATAGAGGGAATAACAATGTAATTCATCATAACTCAACCATTTGAGCTGCATCCCATGTATGAATTGACATTATAAATATGCTTGTATAAAAAATTAATAAATATAATACTTGAGATACGTTGATCCTAATTGCCCAAGACTTTATGAAAAGAATATGCATGCTTTTTCCCTTAATAAATTGTAACTTGGGAGAGATAATCAAACTCTTAAATAATATAGATAAGAATAGGGGGAAAAATACGGAGATGTGGGGAATCGAACCCTGTAATTCATCAAAACTCAACAACTCGAGCTACATCCCCATGATGTTTGAATTGACAATACAGTAGAAGGATATACTAATACTTTGCAGACAATAAAATGTAGACTAAAGAGAGTCGAAAATCCCTATAAGATTTAAAGTTAAAAATCTAAAAGGCGCAATGAAATTTGGGTCGACAGTTTAGAAAAAGAAAAAGAGGGAAGAGATGACTCAAGCATTTGAGCTATATTCCATTTTGGTATATAAATTGACAAGCATATAATAAATATATTTGCATCAAAAATTAATACATATGTAACTTGAGAGGCGTTAATCTTAATAACTCATGACTTTATGATAAAATATGTATGGTTTTTTTCCTTAAATAATTGTAACTTAAAGGTGACAGTTGAACTCTCAAATAATATAGATAAGAATGGGAAAAAAATGTGGAGATGCAGGGAATCGAACCCTGTAATTCATCATAACACAACCACTTGAGCTACATACTCATTTGATGTTTGAATTAACATTATAAAAAAGGTTGCATCAAAAATTAATAAATATGTCAGTTGAGAAACGTTGATCTTAAATGCTCATGACTTTTTGAAAACACTATGTATTTTTTTCTTAAATAATTGTAATTTGGGAGAGATAAACAAACTCTCAAAAAATATAGATAAGTATGAGAAAAAAACAGAAAAATGTGGAGATGTAGGGAATTGAACACTGTAATTCATCATAACTAAAACATGAGCTACATCCCCATTTGATGTTTGAAATGACAATTATGATAGAAGGTTATACTAATATTTTGTCAACAATAAAATCTAGATTGCACAGACTGGAGATTCCCTAAAAGATTTAAAGTTAAAAATCTAAAAAGTGCTAAGAAATTTCAGCTGGTTGTTTCGAAAAGGCAAAAGAAGGAAGATATGACTCAATCAATTGAGCTACATCTCATTTTGATGTACAAAGTGTCAAGAATATAATAAATATGTTCGTAAAAAAAAAATTAATCAATATGTAACTTTAGAGGCGATGATCTTAACTGCCCATGACTTTAAGAAAAAATATATGTATGGTTTTTTCCTTAAATAGTTGTAATTTGAAGGAGATAATCGAACTCTCAAATAATATAGATAAGAATGGAGCAAGAGAAAAATGTTGAGATGCAGGGAATCTAACCACCTAATTCATCGTAGCTCAACCACTTGAGCAACATACCCATTTGATGTTCGAATTAACATCATAAATATGTTTACATCAAAAATTAATTAATATGTTACTTGAGAGATGTTGATCTTAATTGCCCAAGACGTTATTAAAAAAATGTGTTTTTTTCATTAAATAATTGTAATTTAGGAGAGATAATCAAATTCTCAAATAATATAGATAAGAATGAAAAAAAACAAAAGTGTGGAGATGTAGGGTATTGAACACTGTAATTCATTGTAACTAAAACATATGAGCTACATCGCCCTTTGATGTTTGAACGGACAATTATAATAGATGCTTATAATAATATTTTGTAGACAATGAAATCTAGACTGTAGGGACTGGAGATTCCCTAAAAGATTTAAAGTTAAAAATCTAAAAAGCGCTAAGAAATTTCAGCTGGTGGTTTCGAAAATGCAAATAAAAGAATATATGACTCTATCAATTGAGCCACGTCTCATTTTGATATACAAATTGTCAAGTATATAATAAATATGTTTGTATCAAAAATTAATAAATATGTAAATTGAGAGGCGTTGATCTTAATTGCTCATGAATTTATAAAAAAATATATGTATGGTTTTTTGAGCTACATCGCCATTTAATTTTTGAACTGATAATTATAATAGAAGGTTATACTAATATTTTGTAGACAATAAAACCTAGACTGTAGGGACTGGAGATTCCCTAAAAGATTTAAAGTTAAAAATCTAAAAGGAGCTAAGAAATTTCAACTAGTGGTTTCGAAAATGCAAAAGAAGGAAGATATGACTCTATGAATTGAGCTACATCTCATTTTGATATACAAATGGTCAAGGATATAATACATATGTTTGTAAAAAAAATTAATAAATATGTAACTTGAGAGGCGCTGATCTTAATTGCCCATGACTTTATGAAAAAATATGTGTACATTTTTTTCCTTAAATAGTTGTAATTTGAATGAGATATTCAAACTCTCAATTTATATAGGTAAGAATGGAAGAAAAGAAATATGTTGAGACGCAGGGAATCTAACCACGTAATTCATCATAACTCAATCACTTGAGGAACATACCCATTTGATGCTCGAATTGACATCATAAATATGTTTACATCAAAAATTAATTAATATGTTAATTGAGAGATGCTGATCTTAATTGCCCATGACTTTATTAAAAAAATGTGTTTTTTTCATTAAATAATTGTAATTTGGGAGAATAATCAAGCTCTCAAATAATATAGTTAAGAATGAAAAAAAAAAGAGGAAAAATGTGGAGATGTAAGGAATTGAACACTGTAATTCATCCTAACTAAAACATATGAGTTACATCCCCATTTGATGTCTGAACTAACAATTATAATAGAAGGTTATACTAATATTTCGTAGACAATAAGATCCAGCTTGTACGGACCGGAAATTCCTTGAAAGATTTAAAGTTAAAAATCTACAAGACGCTAAGAAATTTCAGCTGGTGGTTCCGCTACGTCTCGTTTTGATATATAAATTGTCAAGTATATAATAAATATGTTTGTATCAAAAATTAATAAATATGTAACTTGAGAGGCATTGATCTTAAATGCCCATGACTTTGTGAAAAAATATATGTATGCTTTTTTTCCTTGAATAGTTGTAATTTGAATGAGATAATCAAACTCTCAAATTATATAGATAAGAATGGAAAAAAAAAAAGAAAAATGTTGAGATGGAGGGAATCGTACCACGTAATTCATCATAACTCAACCACTTGAGCAACATACCCGTTTGATGTTCAAATTGACATTATAAATATATTAGCATAAAAAATTAATAAATATGTTACCTGAGAGATATTGATCTTAATGGCCCATGACTTTATATGAACAATATGTGTTTTTTTTTCCTTAAATAATTGTAATTTGAGAGAGATAATCAAACTCTCAAATAATATAGATAAGAATGACACAAAAAAACGGAGATGCAGGGAATTGAACACTGTATCATCATAACTAAAACATGTGAGCTGCATCCCTATTTGATGTTTAAATTGACATTTATAATAGAAGGATATACTAATACTATGTAGACAATAAAATCTAGCCTATAGAGATTGGAGATTCATTGAAAATTTGAGGTTAAAAATCTAAACTGTGCTAGGAGATTTCAACTGGTGGTTTCGAAAAGGAAAAGGAAGGAAGATATGACTCTATCATTTGAGCTACGTTTCATTTCGATATACAAATTGGCAATTATATAATAAATATGTTTCTATCAAAAATTAATAAATATATAACTTTAGAGGCATTGACTTAATTCCCCATGACTTTATGAAAAAAAAAAAGTATGGTTTTTTCCTTAAATAACTTGTAATTTGAAGGAGATAATCGAACTCTCAAATAATATAGATAAGAATGGAAGAAAAAAAAATGTTGAGATAAAAATTTTGCATAGTGTTTTGAGAATGGGAGAGATACGGGAGACACGAGCGGAGGAAGACACGAGTGGCGGCGGTGCAGTTCCGCCGTCGAGCGAGGAATCTGATGCCTTGGAGAGGAGTCGTAAAAAGGTCAGAATGGGAGATTTGGTGATAGGGAATGAGCGAGCAGTGGTACGTCATGAGGAGGATTGGATGGTTGAAGAGGTATACTCAGAACGGAGTAAATACACCAGGGGATCTGGGGGAGGAGGAACCGCAGAAGAAATCATATCGCCAAGCCTGTTCGTCTAAAGACAACGGGCCAAGCTGTGACGAAGAGGACGAGGAAGCATGGTGGTTTGATGAGGGTTGGCGTAATAAAGTCAGGGTGGAACAAACGACGAAGGGCCCTAACGTCATAATCATGCTAGAATTCAAGGAGAAACTAGCCAGAAAATGGAGGTTGTCCTTGATTGTACGACTCTTAGGGCGGATGGTCCGTGAAGAATATCTAGGGCAGAAACTACAAAAGTTATGGGGCTACAATAGGGATGTTGAAACCTTAGAGATTGGGTCAGGGTACTTCATAGTTAACTTCACCCACACCAATGACTACGAATATGCGCTTACAGGCGGACCTTGGCTTGTTCTGGGACATTATCTGAATGTACAACCGTGGAAACCTGACTTTGATCCAGACGAAGAGGAGGTGTCAAAGGTTGCGGCCTGGATATGTATACCGAAGTTTCCAATGGATTACTATGACATGGGAATCTTATATGTGGTGGGAAGTCAAATTGGAACAATTTTAAGGGTAGATAAGAACACCCTTTCTCACTCCAAAGGTTGATTCACGAGGCTGTGTATCGAGCTTGCCGACTGCCGGCGATCTTAATAAACGGAAAAGAGAAGAAGATAATGTATGAGGGTCTACATCTGATTTGTTTTGGGTGCGGTAAGTATGGTCATGATAAAGACCACTGTCCTTGCAGCTCAACGACAATGGAGGGCACAGAAAGAGCAGACCAGTATGGCGTGAATCTCATGAAGGAAGGGTCGATGGCTACGGAGAAGGGGGATGGCCGGTATGGTGGTTGGATGGTCCAGAAGTCACGCCGTAATTATCGGCGATCAGATCGCATTCACGGAACTGGTGGGAATGAGTGGCAAGATTCGAAGGAAAAGAAGATCACAAGTAATAAGGGATCCAGATTCACGGCGTTGAGTATGGAAGAGGATGAGGAGCAACAGATTACGGGTAACGTAGGCCATGCGGAAATCACGTCACATGAGATTATGATAAATAACAGAATCCCATATGATCATTCATCACGTGGTAGAAGGGGGCAGGCACGTGCACAATTGAATGGCAACAGGAGTGGGCCAGTAGTCAGAGTTGATTCAAAGGGGAAAGAAGTGATATTAAGGAAAGAAAAAGTTAACCCGATGGAGGAAGACCTACGACTGGAAAACAATGTGGACTTAACGGTAAGTCATGCGAACCTCACCAATCACTCTTCGGGACATCAAGTAAACGTGGGAGTGGGTCCTTCTCGCTTGCATGAACCCAGGAAGCAGTCAACGTGTCCAAGCATGAATGACCCTGGGCCAAAGCTGGATACTACAGCGTCAGAAACAGTTGATCTATTAGACCCAGGTGCAAGCACCGGAGCTGGGTTCATTATCAGATCAAACCCTTTGTCAGAGGACCACAGAAATGTTAGGCAGAGTGAGGGTGTGGTAGAACCCATGGCTGAAGAAGCAAAATAATATCAGGTCGTGTGCGATCATCTCATTACCTACGGTTGATATGGATAGTAAACTAATGATCTGGAACTCGCGAGGAGCAGGAAGTAATGCGTTTAGTCATTTTTTGTGTGATATTCGGTCCCGTTATCAACTGGATCTTATAGCACTCCTAGAACCAAGACAAAAGTCTGATAAAGCACTGTCCATAGGTCGTAGACTAGGATGGCGACACATGGAACTTGTAGAAGCACGGGGATATAGCGGGGGCATTTGGCTATTCTGGAAAGACTCACTGAAGCTCAGTATAGATTTTAAGACGGATTACTTTATACATGGCACAGTTAATAGAGGTAGTACTGATGAGTGGGCACTTACCATTGTATATGGTGACCCATCTTTTACGAAGCGCAGAAGTCTTTGGCAAGGCTTAGGAGATTTAAACAAATGCATCTCAGGAAGATGGGCCGTAGCGGGGGATTTCAATGCTACTCTTACGCATGATGATTGTAAATTATTGGCAGGATAGCGCATCAATCCGAAAGCCACTTTCCGGCGTTGGGTCAATGAAAGCGAGATGATTGATATAGGCTTTAGTGGGCCTAAATATACATGGTGTAGAGGTTCTAGCAGCAGCTGCATTGATCGCGTCTTGGTTAATAGCAGATGGCAGCAAGCATTTCCCAACGCCTCCATCATGCACTTGCCGATGTTCAAATCTGACCATTGTCCACTCTTAATATCGTTAGATGGTATGAACAAGCCGAGGAAGGGAAACCGGCCTTTTCGCTTCTTCGCACCATGGGTCATGCACGATCAATTCAAGTCCTTTGTTAAAGACAATTGGTAGACACAAGGGGATTGGAACGTTAATATCAAAGATTTCAAGACTCACCTTCTCCAATGGAATAGACAAGTCTTCGGCAATATTAATAGAAGAAAGGAACACTTATATCATAGGTTGGAAAATTTGAACACCAAGATTGACATGAGTGGGAGCTCTGAACAGCTTGACCAAGCCAAGAAAGAATTATGGGCACAGATCGAAGAGGTTTTGTCTCAAGAGGAGGTTATGTGGTTACAAAAGTCACGTTGTAACTAGTACCATCAGGGGGATCATAATACCAAATACTTTCATAGTTTGGCAAGTAGTAGGCGACGACATAACAAGATTGAAGCTCTCAAACTGGAATCGAGAGAGTGGTCATATGAACCACAAGAGATCAAGGAGTGGGGTACTAATTTTTTCAAAACACTATATACGGAAGAAGATGCAAGCAACCCTGAGATTAATTTCAACATTGGCTTTCCTCAGATTGAAGATGGAGAATTACACCTATTGGGAAGACAAGTGTCATATGAGGAGATCAGGGCAGCTCTTTTCGATATGAGCCCCCTAAAGGCGCCAGGTCCTGATGGCTTTAATCCTCTATTTTTTCAAAGTCAATGGGAGGTGGTGAGGGGTATAGTGATACAGAAAGTTAGAGAAATTTTCAACTCTCCTTCGAAGGTCAAGCTCATTAACGATACTCAAATTGTGTTGATCCCGAAAATTGATTCCCCCCAAACAATTAAAGATTTTCGCCCCATTAGCTTATGCAATGTCATTTATAAAATTGTGACCAAGATAGTTACAACTTGGCTTAAAGATATTTTGCCCAAGATTATTGCTCCTAATCAATGCAGTTTTGTTCGAGGACGTCAGAGTTCAGATAATATTATCCTTGCACAGGAAATTATCCATTATATGAGAAGCAAGAGACCGAGAAGGGGGTTTATGGCTATAAAAATTGACTTGGAGAAGGCCTATGACCGTATTAAATGGAGTTTTGTGCTCGCTTGCCTTCGGGAACTCTGTCTTCCAGACCTTATTGTTAAACTTATTGAAGCATGTGTTTCCAGTCCCTCTATGAGCCTACTTTGGAATGGCGAACAGGCGAAGAAATTTTATCCATCAAGAGGTATACGTCAAGGAGACCCTCTCTCACCCTATCTGTTTGTCATTGCAATGGAAAGATTGGGCCATCTCATCCATGGAGAAGTGGAGAATGGAGAGTGGCGGCCTTTTAAATTATGCAAAAGAGGAACAGCTATTTCCCATTTATTTTTTGCAGATGATATCCACCTTTTTGTTGAGGCAGACTTAGAACAGGCCGGACTTATTAAAGCAACGCTAGATGACTTTTGTTTGATTTCGGGGCAAAAGGTCAACGCGGCTAAAACCAAAATTTTCTTCTCAGACAGTGTTCACCATACTAGAAGGCGAGAGATCAGTGATTTCCTGGGGTTTCAGACTACATCCAATCTGGGTCGGTACCTTGGAATGCCTATTTTTCATGATAGGATCTCAAAGAACACGTTTGACTTTATCTTAGATAAGATGGATGCCAGACTCTCAGGCTAGAAAGTGAACTCATTATCCTTTGCAGCCAGGCAGACCTTAGTCTCTTCAGTGGTTTCAGTAATCCCAAACTATGCCATGCAGACTACACCACTACCAGCTTACACTTGCAACGAGATTGACAAACGTTGTCGTAACTTCCTGTGGGGCAGTACAAACCACACGCGGAAACCTCATTTGGTATCTTGGGAAGATGTGTGTAGGAAGAAAACTGAAGGGGGCTTGGGGCTCCAGTTGGCAAGGAGGCAAAACTCTGCCTATATGATTAAACTTGGTTGGGGACTGGTCAAAAGACGGGAAGCGCTCTGGGTCAGGTTTCTGAGGGAGAAGTATAAGTGCGGTGGTGATTTTATTCCTAGAGTGGAGAAGAGAAGGAACAGCTCCCAAACTTGGGCGGGGATTTGTAGCAACTGGGATAAAGTGAGTCAAAATATGAGACTTAAACTGGGCACAAGAAACCGTGTGAGTTTTTGGTCTGACCCTTGGCTCTCACACGATGTCAGGTTTGTGAAATCCCAAAGGAGGCAAAGAATTGGAGAGTGACTGATGTTGTCTCAAATTCAGGTGGTTGGGAGTGGGAGAAATTCCAATCCTATCTTCCTCACTCAGCCTTATGCCTTTTTCGTGAATCAAGAAGACCGAATCGCGAGGGATGCGATATTCCTGTCTGGATTGCCTCCACAGATAGTAATTTTTCTCTAAGATCGGCTTATAGCTTGTGTTCAAATGAGGACCACGCATCATGGTCGTTTTGGAGGCACTTATGGAAGATTAAGGTTCCTCAGAGATGTCTCACGTTCCTCTGGTTGGTAGCCCGAAACAAGTTACTAACAAACCTTTCACGCTTTAAGAAAGGTCTACATAACATAGGGTGCTGCGAGATTTGTGGCACTCAGATAGAAACGACGTTGCATGTTCTACGTGATTGTAATATTGCCTCTGCGGTTTGGAGAATATGTGTACCGAGGAGATGGAGGAGCCGGTTCTTTCACACTGATGAGGTGGTTGACTGGGTACGGCAGAATATATGTGTCACAACCTCGGTGGAAAACCTTGCTTGGAAACAATGGTTTGCCATCATATGTCGGAACCTGTGGCTCGCACAAAATGACAAGATTTTTAATGGAGTGAATTCAGACCCCCAAGACATACTCGCTCGTTCGAGGGCTTATCTTCTTTGGGGTCAAGTAAAGCTGGATGCTTCACGGCCTACCCAACGTGCACAATGGGAACCACCGAAAATAGGAACCATCAAGTTTAACGTGGATGGTTCGTTCCATGTTAGGAAGAGGACTCGAGGTTGTGGAGGTCTGGTGAGAGATCATAGTGGCAGGGTCCTGTGCGGATTCCTATTCCGCCCCACTCATGGTTTGAGTCTTACCACTGAGATCTGGGCAATCTTATGGGCTTTGAAGGTTGCATGGGAACAGGGTTTCCGAGAAGTCATTGTGGAAAGTGATTGCACTGAAGCTGTTAATGTTGTCGCTATAGGGGTGGAGGAACAACACCCTAACGTTGGTATAGTCATGGAGGCACAACAAATGCTGAAAAGGGAGTGGGTAGTTGACCTTATTGTCTGCGGAAGAGATGAGAATCATGATGCTGACGCATGGGCCAAGTTTGTGAGCTCGATGACTGTTGATCTATCGGTATTTACTGAGGTTCCGGAACAGTTATGTCTACGTGATCCAGTGTTTGCTGGT